AAAAAAAAAAAAAAAAAAAAAAAAAAAAAAACACATCTTAGTAAAACCAATACCTTCTCAACTTCGCATCGAAGCTAAAATAGGTTATAATTTTTCTTTAAAAAAGCTCCTTAGGTAAAATAAAATGTATATATGATTTTATGAGTTATAACAAGTTTATGGTAGCACATCATAAAAAATGTGCGCCCGTCGCCGTGAAAATGGACTCCGTGGTGTTATGCGCCTATTTATTATACCCGTAAATCAATAAAGAAATTCTGAATAATAAAATTTCGTAGCCAAAATTGTTGTTATTTTTTAAGGTATTTTATTAAAAACTATGGGATATGATAATTTGAGAACCAATATATCGTATACGGTTTTAAATTTTTAAACTTACATGACTGTATTATTTTTTTACTTTACAGGTGATAATCAATCGCAAATGTTTATTGCAGTATGTAATGGGGAAATCATCGATTAGAACGAATGGTCCAGTAATAACGGAAACAAATAATGATTGTGCCTAATGAAGTTTGAGATACAGATTTAAAAAAGTTTTAAGTATTATTTACTTTTTGACCCACCAGAGACTGTAGATTCTGCTTTATTGTCAGGTAAATCTGTGACTGTAGATTCTGTCGTGGTCTCGGGTAAATCTGAGACTGTAGATTCGGTTCTGTTCTTGGGCAAAAAAGAGCTGGTCTGTTGTAAAACAACCAATAATATGATATTTGCAAAGAAAATTTTCTGAAAAATAATATCCAATAAGACATTATACCAACCTGAAAGGGTTTTATTAAAACCAGTCAACAAATTATTAATACTTATAAATATCTATTTTATTTTTGACTTTAATTTGTTACCAGATATATGTATGAGTGAATGGCTTGAAAATAAATAGAATATCATACGTATAAAAATTAAATATATATAATTTGAAATCTTCAATCTTGTATATAATTGTAATTAGTTGTATTATTTATAATACAAGATTTTCAAAATTATATTTTGTGATTGTTTTATATCTAAATTTTATAACTTATTCGAATTAAAAATAGTAATTTGTTTCATTAGTAACACTTCAGAACTTTTAATTGATTTGTAGTATCCATAAATACAAAATTTTCTTTATTGTATTATTGAAGAATATTAAAGATTATTCTAACTTTTACCGTTACGTATTTTACAATCATAATTTTCTTCGTGTCTAAATATAAAATTATTTATAACTTCTGAAATACTGATACAGAAATCAATATGGTAATAAATTAATATTTTCAATCATTCTTTGTATAACTATATATTATAATTATTTATTACCTACTAAATTTTGTGACTTACCATGTTAAAGTTCTTTGTAAGTTGTATTATTTCGTTTAAAAAGTTCCAATAAATTTATGCATAGCCTTATGAGTCTGTTTTATAATAAAATGTCATGTTATAATTATATCATGTTTAATTTAATAACTATTTAAATAGAAACTATCATGCGTCACTATAACCTTAAATATTTAATCATGTATTAAATTTTATTTGTTTTTTATCTTAGATGGTAGTTGAAAAGTTATTGGTTTTACTTTGCCGTGATTTTTTTCAAAATATGTATTTTGCGAATATTTTATTAATAAAACTTCAAACACTTACTTTGTATTGTATCAGAATATTTACTTTTTTAAATTACTAAAAATTAAAATATGTTAATTGTATATATGATTAACAAAAGGAAAATGTTCCAGTGATTTATGCTCTAAAATTAAAAGCTACGTTATTATGGGTAGTTATGTTAAATTTTTTTTTAATATGTTTCAAATTCTTACGAAGCGTTTTACAATATTAATCCATACTAATCTAAGAAAATACCCTAATTTTATTTTACTGGATTCCTACTGTACTTTAATTTATATTAATGTGTTAGAAATTAAAATTATTTCTGAAATCTATGATTGAATATCTGTGTTAAATTCATATTATTCGTTTTTTTTTTTAATTTTATTATTCATTCCATTTATAATTATTGTGTCATAAATATAAGGTATTTTTATAAAACCTTATACCAATATAATGATTGATATTTATATTTTTTTCTTTGTTCGTTAAAACATTTTTGCTAAAATAATTTTCTATTTAAAGGGTAATTATTAATTCACCTAGTATGCATATACATACGAATAATAAATTACTGATTTATAATCAATTCTAACAATATAAAACCATTTTGTAAAAGTATAAATATTGAAACTGTTAGGTTATTTTTGTAAAAAAACGTAACTATATTTAAAATACTGTCTGATTTATTGAGTGTATTATTGCCATTTATTTTTTGTGTGAATAATGATTTTATCATAAAGATGCACTGTATAAAATTTTACTGACTTTTTATTTGACCATGAAAATTATTTTTAAGGTTAGGGGTAACTCTTCAAAGTCAAATATAAACCTATAATTAATGGTATGTTAAACTTAATATGGTTAAATGAACATAGATTAAATACAATTTATAAGTAAAAATCTTAATATCAAAGAAGTAAAATGTTTAATTATGGTAAAGTGGTAACAAAAAAAAAAAATAATAATTTTATAAAAAATAAATATCCCAATATATAATTATTAGTCCAAAAACATGTTAAGGTTTCATTCTACCTTCAATGCGAAGCTGAGAAGGTATTAATTTTACCATGATGTATATTTTTTTTGTGTCTGTTACCACTTTTTCTCAGTTCTCGTCAAACCGATTTTTTTCAACGAGACGTCAAAAGATCACAAATGGTATCTAGTATAAGACATTACCCTCGAAAATTGAAAAAAATTCAGACTTATTTTGTCTTAACGGTGAAAATGGCTACCAAATGCTATTTTTGTGTGAAAATTCTCGATTTTGTATTTAAAATTTTTAACTTTGTAATGCTATAACTTATTGAAAAGTGTAGGGATCAATGGAATTTTTTAATAATAAATACTATTTATATACCTCTTTCATTGGACATACTTTATATTAATCAGTATATAAATAAAAAAATAGCAACTCACATAGCTTTTGTAATAATTCATCAATTTTTTTAAATTAAACCTATATTCTATGTACAAATGGCCGTCAAATTTAAACAAATTTACTATCTACTTAATNTTCATCAATTTTTTTAAATTAAACCTATATTCTATGTACAAATGGCCGTCAAATTTAAATAAATTTTAATGTATCAAATATTTATTCATATTTTATACTTATATTTCATAAAACTTGTAATCAGGATATAATTAAGGAAATAGAACTTCATGTTGATTTTTGAATAATCCACCAATCTCTTAAAACTGTACACTAAGTACAGATTTGCATCGAAGCGTTTTTTATGATAGTGATTTTAATTACTGTCAGATATCATTATACAAAATTTAAGAGAGCCATCTTGATTCATCAGCTAGTATTCTATTAATAATTGTATATGTGATGTAGTACTAAATAGAGGCCATACTTTGGTAACTAAGTATGGAATGGAGACTCAAAGTCCGGTGTTGTCTATTTATAAAAATATTTAACGCATTCCCTAAAAAAATGTCTATTAAACTACGCGTTAATGGTTTAAAATTAAGTCACAATAGTTAATTTAAGAGCTTTCTTATATTAGAGTAGTCTGAACATGATTATATAATCACAAACATTTAAAGAATAGCTATAAAAACTATAAAAAGATAGTAGAGTGGTAGATGCAATTAAATAATTAAATATTTCTAGGTTATTTTCCAAAAAATAATATGTCCCTTAAAGCTATTCTTTATCAGAGCAAAATTAAATAAAATATTTTAAATGGCGCCAAGGGACACCTTCAAAAATGGTAATGTCAATATACATAAAGATATTGATAATTTTTATGTGTAATAATAAATCTTCTCGATAAAATTGGCTCGTAATATTTTGGTACTTGATAGAAATTATTTTTTTCTATAAAATTATAAAAATCTCATAACGGGATTATATTACACAAAATGTGAATCCTTTTAAAAAGAACCTTTTATTGATAGTTTAATTTTACATTTTTCCCAATAAAATCCTATAATATTAAATATTATGTATGTTTTATTTAAAGTTAACTTTATTAACGTCCCAAGAGTTATAGAATAATTAGCCTCTGACCGCAGGAGCCTCAGACTCCGTTACGTTGTAGGAATGTGGTATATTTACTCTTATTATTGGTCACCGGACCTTGGACCCTTCTGGCGTCGGTTTCGGTTACACAATATTAGGCATTCCGTGTATGTGGGTGGTGATACAAAACAACTACTTTTAAAAAAAGGTTATACTGACATGTCATAATCCTAACTTTATAAGAAATACATATAACTAAAATAAGATATGCATTCATAAATTGAAGTAATTTTAAAACATCTGATTAAAATAAAAATAAATTAAATTATTTTATAACACAGTTAGGTTTCCAAATTTAAATATGCTAAAATCTTATAACAAATGACATAACTGATATTTTTTTGTTCGTTGATCAAGTTTAAAATAAATTATAATTTTTTTAATAAAATTTTTGATAAGTTCTTTTTCTAAGAAAGCGTTGATACGTTTTCTAAGATTTGTACACCATTATTTTTATCAAATTACATGGGGATTCTTAACTTCGTTATTTCAATTTTAACTGAGAAATAATGTTTAAATTGTTGGTAAAAATTTTAAGTTCAGTACATAAGAAAAATTTTTAATTTGTATTAAACTTAAAATTGTATAACAATTCAAGTAAATCAAAATTCCGAATAACACTATCTTTAAGATTAAATTTGATGAATACATGTAATAAATTGTGATTTAAATGTTAGAGGAATTGTTGAATTTATTTTCGGTTTGGCTGATAAAACGATTTAGTATTAATTAGACTGTTTGATTATTTTAGTAGAGCAATTATGAGTTGAATAAAACAATCAAGTGAAAGTTATAAACGGTAGCATACTTGCACTTGTCCTTGTGCTTAAGAATGACTGTCACAGTCCGTTGTCCGGAGGGTCAATATGTAACTATAACGATTATTATTTATAGTTTTAATCTAACGGCGAAAATATTTTAGTATTGTGCACAAAGCATATTTAAGCAAGGTCACCACGTGTTACTATATTAATTTTTATGCTTCATGTATCACGATAACACAGGAAAGTTTACATCATAAAAAAATCAAAACTTATATTAAACTAAATTTATATGTTAAAGTGCATATTGTCAATACAAACCGAAGGATTGTCACTAGTAATTATATTTTGAAAACTACACACTTTAAAATGTTTATTAAACGATGTAATCATTAAAATTAGAATGGTAACTTTTAAGTTTTATGAAAATTAAAATATGACATTATGTAAAAAAATTAATATTGCAGTAGACTAATATACTTGGGATAATAGGCTGTGATATGAATATCTACTCATCAATTTATATTTGTTTATACAAGTTTATGTAAATAAAGCAATTTTCTAAAAATTAATTTTTAAATACATCTATATACAAATTCAATTTAATGTTAAAAATATTTTGTTTAACAAAGATTTCTTTATGTAAGTTTTATGTAATGACAAATTTACTTTGTAACCACAAACGAAGCTAATAAAGGGTTTCATACTTTGTAAATCACCTTACATGTTACATTCGATCACGTTTCTTGCTGTACAGCTGATGAAAATCTAATTAAGATGTATAGATCTTGGAAATTGATCATTGGTAGTGTTAATATTAATAGCATAATTATAATTATATATTAGACCGTTTGACCGTGTAAGTTTAGACAAAGTAACATTGTGATTTATGTAATGGTATAATTTTGGATGTATTATTATGTATAATTTACAATAACCCATATCAATAAAAATAATTAATAACGACAAATCTTCTTTTTACATCCCAATATTTTCTTTTCTATATATCTTCTAAAATTATT